CAATGAAATTAACAATTATTGCATAATTTTTATTTGAAAAAAAAAAACGAATAAACAAATAAACAAACAAACAAACATACTTTCAATTTTATTCATAAGGATCGATAAACAAATATGTAAATGGAATTAAAAAAAAACACTGTAAAATTAACATTTCATCATACATTTTATAAAAATTTGTAACAACAACAAACAATAACAGAATAGTATTATTGTTGTTGCTATTATTGTTATTGTTATTGTTGTTGTTATTATTGAAAGTAACAACAAACAAAAAAAAGAAAAATGCTATACACATTGTAAAAAAATAAACGAAAAGAAAAGATAAAGATGGAAAAATTTTGCTAAGAAAAAAAATTTATCTTAAAACAGGTTTAAAAAAAAAGAAAAAAGCACCCCTTTGTGCAATAACAATGTAATAAGAGATTTAAAAAATGATATGTTTTATACAGGAAAAGAAAAAGAGAAAATGACAAAAAATTTCTAAACTTTTCAACTTTTTTAAATTTTTTTTTTTTAAAAGCATTTAAAACATTTAATGCTTAAATCCTATTAAAAGAATTATATTTTATTTGATGCATAATAATAATCCCGTTGATAATGCATTGTAAATTAATGATTATATTATCATGTATTATCAGTGATAAAGTGACAATGATAATGTTTGCGGATTTGTTGCAGAAAAAAAAATTACAAAATAAGAGAAAGAAAATAAATGAGCTAATTAGTAAATTGATAAGTCAAAAGAAAAAATAAATGAATGATAAAAAAAGAAAGAAAAGGCAAACAGATAATGAAAGAATTTTTGTCTTTTTTTTATTTTTTTAATTAATCAAATTTTAAATTCATATTTTAATTATTAACATTTAACATTTATTCCAATTTTAAACATTTTATCAAATCTGTCAATTTACTTAAACGAAAAAAAGAAAAAAGAAAAAAAAATTTTAAAAAAAATGAAAAATAATGAAATGTTTTAACTTGATACCTTCAAATAATCATTAAAATGAAATCGATCAATCACAATTTTTTCTTTTTGTCGCTTTGTGATACGTTTTTTCTTTTTTTTTTTTTCTTTTTTCCTTTACTTAACGTCCTTTATTC